CAGAAATGTCAAGGAAGGAAAGGGAGGAGTCAGAGATAGACCAGGTGAAAGTGAGGGCAGCGTGGAAATTGGAGGCAAAATTGATGAAGTTTTCCAATTCCAGACGAGAGAGGGAAGTAGCACCGATGATATCATCAACGTATCGGAGGAAGAGTTGTGGGTGGGGGCCAAAATAGGACTAGAACAAGGAATGTTCCATGTACCCCATGAAGAGACAGGCATAACTAGGGCCATGCGGCTACCCATGGCCACCTGTCTTACCCAAAGAAAATGAGAGGAGTTAAAAGAGAAGTTGTTGAGGGTGAGGACGAGCTCAGTCAAGTGGAGGAGGATGGTGGTGGGTGGGGATAGTTCAGGTCTTTGCCAGAATCTAGTCTACTGCATTCGCTGCTCACAATGTGGTCTCCTCTACGTTGGGGAAACAAAGCGTAGACTGGGTGACCGCTTCGCAGAACATCTACGTACTGCTCACAAAAAGGACCCTGAACTACCTGTTGCCTGCCACGTCAACGCACCACCCTGCTCCCTGGCCAACACCTCTGTCTCTGGCTTGCTGCAGTGTTCCAGTGAACCTCATCGCAAGCTGAAAAAACAACATCTCATTTTCCGCTTGGGGACCCTGCAGCTCTCCGGACTCAATATCAAGTTCAATAATTTTAGGGCCTAAACTTTCCCATGTCCCAGCCCCCTACCCCACCACACCAGGCCTTGTTACCACATAGCCTGCCATCACACACCACCTGTTGTTAGTCACTAATAGTCCCCATTAACAACTATTCACCCTCCGAGCCTGATCGTTATCAACTCTGCGTCTGTCCAACTGTTTTTCTCTCTCTTTCGGCTCTATCCTATTGTTTACGCCATACCCCAAGCCCCTCCTTTTTTCTGCATATAAACTGACATTTTCGCAGCCACCATCAGTTCTGAGGAAGGGTCACCGGGCCTAAAATATTAACTGGTTTTTTCCTGTCAGACCTGCTGAGCTTTTCCAGCAACTTTGTTTTTGTATTATAAAATATTGTTTTTTTGCACAAAGTAATGGATCCTGGAATTGTAGACTATATGTTTGTGAGCCACAGTGGCAAAGAGCATGCTGCATTAATTTGGCAATACATGTTGGTGCAGTAATGGTTTGTTCTTGAAAGTCCGAACATTTGATTCTAATTGCCGCTCAGCTGTTATCCAATGAGTTGGCAAATGAATAGTGTAAAGAATGCCAACTTACAACAGCTGGTTGCTGATGGTGGTGGAGTCTGAGCTGTAATAGTGCAATAGTCATCATCAAGGGTTAAATAATTTTCATCATTTATTTATCATTCTTGGAAAATGAAATCCATTGTCAAAGAAAGTGAGAGCTAAAGGAACAGGTTGTCTTTAAGACCTTGGTTTGCAGTAGCCATTAAAAAGTGTTATTTTCTACCCATCCATTATTGTGTCAGTACTGCAGACTTTGATGCTGTACCTCTCTATATCAAACATTCTTGATTCTATTTTTAAAAACTAGATATTGGGATTTATTTTGCAACCACAACATTTGATAAAGTCTGACTTGAATGAAAAGACATCTACATTTTTGTAGGAAAACTGACCAATGTTCCAAACGTTTTTGTTCCGTAAGGGCCTTTGGTTGACCTGAGACCTTCATTGGCATTTTCAGAAGCTGTCAGTCTTCAATTCTAGATAACACGGTGTAGAGCTGGATGAACACAGCAGGCCAAGCAGCATCAGAGGAGCAGGAAAGCTGA